TATAACCTGAAAGTTACATATTAAAGTAGATAATATTAGCTTTTTCATATATAATACATGATGGTTTTAAAGAAAATGAGTAAAAGAAATAAGATTTATGGACACAAATAACATTATATTTGCCTTAAAGGTTTTCTGTTTAATTTATATTGAATAGATTATAATTTACAAAGCTTTAAAATTAAAAAATATATTTATTATTATTATTAGAAATATCAAATAAACAATTATTTGATTTTTTTAATTAACTCCAGAAATCATATATAATGGATTCTTATATTCAAGAAAGTACACTTCATTAATTTTTCGAAAATATTGAATTTTTATCAAAACAACTAAACTATTTAAATTTTGGAATAGAAAGTAAACTATGTAGTGAATTTTAAAATTATTGTTATTAATAAAACGCTAGATAATAAGTAAACGAGTTAAACTAAAAAGAAGTTTGTGATATAATATAATTAAATAAAACAAACTAAAGGAATTTAGAAGATTATAATTTAAATTCGGAAGGAGGAACCAGTAGAAAAAAATAATAAAAAAGTGAAGTTTTAAATGTATTTTCCGATTTTACAAAATAAAGCTATGATTCTTTAAAAAATGAAAGCTTTAGTTAAAAATCTGTCCTAAATACCGAAAATACATATCAATAAGTTTCTAAAAACAATATTGATTTGAAAGAAATCGAACAATTAGATGAGGAAGAAGAAGATAATTAATACGAAAAAAAACAAAGCCAATTTTTTAACAAAAAATAAGTAAATTAAATGTTTAAATAAAGTTTTATTATTGGAAAAAATAATATTTATTCAAATTAAAATGTTAATTCGGCTTTTTAATAATAAAATAATGTTATTAAAAAAATTGAATATTCAGATTCTTCAGTTTAAATATAAAAAGTTAATATTATGAAAAAAGTTAAAAATTCAGAAATTTTATATAAAACTAAATTTGAGCTAAAAGATATTAATTTAAGTTTCAAACCAGAATATAAAGATAATAATTATGTAAATATAATTTAAAAGTATTATTTATTTTTTAATTATCAACAAAAATACTAAAATATTTTTTTTAAATAGATAGCTTCTTAAGAAAATAAATGTTATGATTGTCTGAAATATATATCTAAAGGACTTTTTATATTCTTTGTAATCTTAATATATCATATACTTATATTTGTTAAATTATTTTTTATAACATTAACATATAAATATAAAGAATACAGCCTCATTTTGCTATTATACTGGTAATTGGTATTGCTAAGATTGTATAGCAATAGAGAAAAAGCCTATAGCTTGGAAAGCAATAAAGAATTTTGATTTATAATATTATACAGTATCGAAAAAAGCACTTTCAGAAATAAATATATTATATGATAAGCCTATAATTTAATTCGAATATAGTGATAAAATAGTATTTAAAAATAAATAATTATTTGAATTTATGGTAAAAATGATTATTCTTTTATCAAAAATCTACTTTATATATATATATTATATATTTAGATTGTAAAAAGACAAACTCATTTATTATATGATTTTATTTGTAATTCTTAAATATTAGAAGATTATTTAGAAAAGAATATAAACTTTTGTCTAAAGCAAAACTTATTTAGTTTGAAAAATCTATACGAAATTTCAAATGGAACTTTAAAAGAGTATTTAGAAAACATTTATTAGACTATATTTTATTAACATGTCAAAAATTGTCAAGTATGTAATAGAAAAGCTTTTGTTTGTAAACTTTGTAAATCTGATAATTTAATATATACATTTGATATAAAAAATACATAGCTATGCAATATTTGTAATGAAATATATCATAGAGAATGCTTAGATAATATGAATTGTATTAAATGTGCTTAAGAAAATTAATGAAAATAATACTTTTTATTTTTTTACAATAAATATAAATATATTAATTTATTTTAATAACCATTTAAATATGATAATTAATAAGATATTAAGTAGTTTTAATATTTAAAATATTTAATATTATTTAAATAGTTATTCTATTTTTTATTATTTCCTTTTTATATTATTTTGTTCAAATTTAAAAAAAACATATAAATTATATTTTAAATCATATTGAAATAGTATTTGATACATATATTTTTACTCATTTCATTTACTAATTTAATAATTTTATTTTTATTCAATAATTTCAATCACATATAATATAATAAATATTTAATAAAAAAACTATAATAACACTAAAAATATATTAATAATAAAGTCATATTCTTTTATTTCATTAAATTTAAATTATAAACGAAAATAATTTATTTACAAATAAAAAAAAAAAAAAACTAATTAAAATTTTGTATAAATTACATCTTATTTTTTTTAATAAAAGGCATAATAAGCAAAAGGAATAATTAAAATTTTTAAAAAATATAAATTTTAACTAATAATGAATATATAAAGTATAAAACAAAGTATAAATAAATAATAGAATTTATATATATAAAATATTTTTAAAGTAAATAAAAAAAATAGTGTATTTGTTATAAAGTTTAATGAACAATTATATATATATTCTTATATTTATATATACAATTTTCATTTTTTATTTAAATTACTTATTTATAAAAATAATTATTTATTAATTTTATATATAAAACCCATAAAAATATATAAAAATATTAAATCTTTATTATTTATGAATATTAATAATAATACATATAATACACAAATAAACAAATTATTAATTATGTTAAAAATAAATATTTATATAATAATTGATGAAAAATAGCACGTCAGTATGAATTAAAACGTGTTTTAAACTACAACGATACTTCTGAATTCATTTTTTTATTTTTTAATAATTATACTCAATAATATAGTAATAAACTTAAAATTGTTAAAAATAAAAAAATATAATAAAATCATATATATTAATTCTTTTTAAAAAAAGTATAATTTTGTATAAAAAATTAAAACATACAAAGAGCACAACTCTTTTTTAAAACATTACATTTTTTATAGAAAAAAAAGAAAAAACTAAATCAATGTCAATTACCTTCTTGTGTTCAATTTAAATTATTAAGTAACTTATAAATCCTTTCAATATTTCTTTTGTTAAGTTTCAAAGAAAGGGAGTCATTTTAAATTCAATTTTTATCAAAATTAGTGTTACTTTTGAAGAGAAGGAATTTTCGAAGAGTGAACGCTTTTTTGTTATAAAGAGGAGAGTTTATTTTTTTAAGAATGAGGGTTTCTATCAAGAGAAGACAGGTTTTTTATTTTCTTTTTAAAGATATGGGTCATTTTATAGAGAGATTATTTTAATTTTTATTGGGAAAGGAAAAGGATTACAATTTATTTAGAATTTTCGGGCAACTCAAACTGTGCGTAATTTATTTCTTCATTCTTAAAATTATTTCCATCTTTTTAGGGGGAGGGGGGGGGTTCTTTTAATAGATATTAGAAATTTGTTTGTGTTTTAATATTTGGGGCATGATCATAGAGTTTAGAGGTATCCTTCTTCTTTGAAGATATTCCTGATTACGGAAAGGAGAATTCTAGAAAGGCTATCCACTTCTGAATTAGTTGGTCGAGAAGTAAGACTGAAAATTTCTTTTTTGGTCTTACTTTTTTACTCATTTAAATTTTTTTAACTTCCGTTATCACTTTGTTTATAAAAATTAAAAAAAATATTTTTAAATTAAAGGAAGGCTTTTTTAATATTTTCCAAATAAATATAATTTAAGATATAAATATCATTTTTTAAAAAATTTTGTTAAACTTTTTAACTTTTATTTCCACCTCCCCCCCCTAAAAAAAAGTTATTTTATTAATATAATATATATTATTATTATTATTTTATTTTTTCCCTAAAAAAAAATAAAGAAAAAAAAAAAATGGGCGATATTTTATCAAAAAATGCCTAATATAAACATAATTTTTTACAAGAATTTTCCGAAAACTACACATTAATTCAAGACATAGTAGACGAAAAGCTTGGCTAAATAACATTATATTAAAAAGACGATAATTTTATAGCAAAAAAGCGTTCATTACTAAAAGACTCATCCTCTTAAAGCCTCTAAAACTACTAAATATAAATAAAAATAACATAAAACAATTAATATTTGACCAAACTATACGCCTATAAAATCATGGACACCCAAAAAATAACTATATGTAGTGAAACTCCTTAAATAATAGAAACATATCATGAATATTATACAAATAGTCTCCAAAATGAACTTCAAAGGCGTTAACCAATCCAATTATATTACCATGAAGTCGAATTATGGGCAATTTTATATTCAATAATAAACGCTAGTTCCTATTTGGAAAAAAATAATTTATTTTTAGGGAATATAAGTCCATAGAGTATTTATTTTAATATATATGGTTAAATAAGGGTGAAACCATTTGGAAGTTTTCCAGAAGATTAATTTAATTTCGAAAAAAAAAATACAGAAAATAACACTATATTAGCTCCTGAACAACAAAATTAATAATAAAACTAATAATATTTTATATAAAATATAAAAAAAGCAGATTTATATTGTATAGGAATTAGCATTTTACTCACATCAAGTTTAAATACTAAATTTGATATAAAAAACGAAACAATAATAGTAGAATAAATGAGATCTTTTTGTAGAAATAAATACTCGAACTTCTTTAATATTGTTCTAGATTTTATTTTATTAAAAAATATACAAGAAAGGCCTTTTTCGAATACTATATATGCCATTTTATAGCCTTTTGAGGATTCGATTCTTAATTTACAGTATTTTTAAATGGATTAAATAAAAATTAAATAAAGTTTATAATAAACTGGCGAAATTAAAAATATACCGAAAAATTTCTAATATGTTTTTTTAGGAATATGAATATAAATATATATATATAAATAATAATATATTTAAAAAATATTTTTATTGTTTTGTTTTTTTTTATGTTTTTTTTGTTTTTTAATTCAATGTTATTCTTCTTCAATAATTTCCAATTATTAATCATTTTTCCCCTCTAACATTTTATCATAAAAAATACTTGTTTTATCAATAGTATAAAACCCAATATTTTATTCTATCATAGATGGTTTTCTTATCATCTATTCGACTATAAAGTCTGATTATTTTCTTGATTGTGCAAAAGATGATCTTTTAGCAATTAAAGCTGAAATAGCTGAAGCCCTTTCTGAACCTGGAATTGATTTCATTGGCTAAGCGAGTACTTCTCCTTCCAAAATAGTTAATTTAGTGATTAAAAAAGACACTAGAATAGTGATAAATCCGACACCGAAAAATATTGAGACTCCCAAATCTTCCATAATAACTCTATAAAAAGGTAATACAATCGAAAATATAATCGAAATAAGATTCGTAAGTGAAAAAGTCAACTAATTATACTAAGGCGGTAAAACACACTTGAGTATACTAATTAAATTAGTAAAGGAAATTCTATTAGATAATTTAGTAGCCAAAATAATAAATAACTAAGGAAAAAAATCATCTCTAGTTATAAAAAAGACAAAAATTAGATTATCCCAATAACTGTAAAATTCCATCTAGCAACCTTATAACATTTAAATCTATTTACGAGATAAAAGGCTAAAAAAGATCCACATAAATCCATAAAGACTGAAATTAATACATTATATCGAATATCTCCTCCTAAATTATTAAATGCAATAAACGGACAGTAAAAACTACACTAATTACAGACCCAACAGATCATAAAAATAGCCCCATTTTTCAAATAAAGACTATTATTTTTAATTTCCTGAAATTTTTATATTAAATCCAAAAGAAAATTTCTTTAAATTTCCTTTGCATGTTCTTTTGGGCAAATTTTCTCGTCTGGATTTTCAATGAAATTTCTTAGTGATGAATTCTTACCGAAAGACTTTTTGGAAACCAAGGCGCTTATTTTTCGGTAATATTCATGGTCATTAAAGTAGTAAAATAAACCCGTGAATATTAAAACCGGAATCCCGCAAAAAATAGACAATTGATGTACCCAATATCCATCTATTTATCCACAATAAATAATAAAGCATAAAGATCCAAATGGAAATGCTACATTTAATATTCCTACTGATTTTTCTTTTATTTCTGCTGTGTAGGTGTTATTTATATATGTAAAGACCTAAGAATATACATAAGAACAAGCAAAATTCCATTAAAAAATCAAAAACATTACATAATATATGTTATCGTGAATAAAAATTGTAGAAACTAAAAAAATACCCTCCATTAAAAAAACTGCAAACAAAACATAAAAAAGTAAATACTTTGGATGTTCTTTAAATACAGCTAATAAAAAAGCAGTTATTTAGCCAAAAAAACCTAATGAAAGAATAGATGCTTCCAGTATTTTTTTCTCACAAATTAAACCAAAATCCATTGATATGCTTTATACTCCGTGGGTGTTTATAAATTTGTATTCGTAATTATTTAAACATAATTAGCTTTCACTACAATCAGTCCATTAGTTGTCTATTAAGCAACTTAATTAGGATCTATAATATATAAAAGGAATTGAATTTGAAGGAACTTATAGAAGATTTAAAATAGTTAGCATTAAAAAATGCATTTGTTATTTTTAAGGAGTATCTTCAAACATTTATTTTATAAAATAATTATATATAAAAATGTTATGTTATTAAAATATTTATTGATAATAAAATAAATATGAAAGATATTTGATTTTTTAGTTTGCTTTATATATATAAAAAAATAATAATTTATTATTTAGATTTGTTAATTTGTAAAAATATAAATCTTATTTATATTTAAAAATATATGTATAAATATATATGTATATATATATATTAATATATTAAAATATATATATTTATATATATATTTTATATATATTTATATATATATTTATATTATTTTTTTTATAAATAGATTTATTAATTATATTTATATATATATATTTTTTTTATAATATATTACTTTATATTAAAAAATTATAAAAAGATAACATTAATAAATTTTTATTTTTAAAATATAATTATTATATATGGTTTATTATTAATTTTCAAACTATGCTTTTATATTTTAAATATATTTTTATAGTTATTTCTTTTATTTTTTATTTTTTTAATATATAATAATAATTATTATATTATTCTTTACCAAAATTTAATTAATAGTTTCAAAACAAATTTCACATACAATCCCAAAATTTTAACAATTATTATAAAATATCATCAATTTTTTTTGTTAATTTTAATTAAAACCTTTTTATAAACACTACTCATATAAAAAATTAAAACAAAATATATCACCTTTAAGGAAACATCGAAATTTTCTTATAAACCTCATTTATGTGTGTGTATTTAAAATATAATTACATTAAGATCATATATGACAAGAATTTAACCCATAATATATGTTGACTTTATAAATTCTAAATAATTTTTATAGAATATTAAACGTGAATTTAAAATTTCTTCTAGATACTAAAAATAATTCAATTATTTCAAATAGTAACAATTAAAGATTATAAAATAAAAACTGCATATCCTATATAAAAAAATAAAATTAAAAACTAATATAAAAAATATATATTATTATTAAAAAAAAACCAGCAATTTTTATAAAGTTAATATATATTAATACTAATATTTTATACCATATTTTTCTCTCAAAACTAATAAGTTTGCCTAATGCAATCTAGGAAAATAAAAAATAATAATATCAGTTAATAGAAATATAATGCAACTAAAAAAATAAAAAAATTCATTAAATATTTATATATATAAATATATATATATATATTTATATATATATATATATATATATATATATATATATATTTAGTTATTTTATTTAATTTTATTATTCATATTAAATTATTTTTAATATTAACTATTTCTTAAAATATATTATCTGATTTTTTATTTATTTTTTTCAATTTTATTATTAAATATATATATAGATTATTTATTATAATATATATATATAAATATTTAATTTTTTTTTAATTTATTTATATATTATTATTTATAATAAAAATAAATATTAATTTATTTTTTTCTCATATACAATTCTTATAATTATTTTATTTATATTATTTATTTTTTTCTAATATAAATTATATAATTATAAAGTTTATTTTTAATATATTATTAAAAAAATAATTTATTTCATGCTTTTATTGTTTTTTTTTATGTAAATTTAAAAAATTTTTAAATATAATATTAAATCTTTTATATTAAACCAATTTTTACTATATTTTTAAAAGAAATTTTTAGATCATAAATGTTTAATATATTTAATTTTTAATTATTTTACAAAAAATTAAAAAATTGATTTCAAAAAATAAAAATTCTTATAATTTAATTCATTTTTCTATTTTATAAAGAAAGCTATTCTATAAAAAACCTATTAAACAATAAATATTTTTATAATTTCGATAAAATATTTTTTTTATTATTATTATAAAAAAGAAAACGAAAATTAAATCTTAAAAAAATAATCATAAAAAGTTTAATAACTAAAATATTATAATTATTTGTTTTTAATAAATAATATAATTATATATAGATATATATATATTTTTTAATGAAATTATATATAAAAAATATTTAATTATAATAAGTTTTTTTAAAAATTATTTAGCCATTAAAAAAAAATATTAAAATCAAAATCGAAAAAAAAAGTTTATTTTTTAATATTTTAAATCAAATTGTTTAAATATAATTTAATTACATAAATACTAAAAATATATTTACATAATCAAATACTTAAAATTTTATTATAAACAAAGAAAAATTCAATATTTTAATATTATAGGCTTAATTCAAACTTAAATTTGTATAAAAAATTAGTATATACTTAAATATAAAATTTATTTATAAATTTAAAATTTTAATCTAGAAAATATTTAAATAAATAAATTATCAAATGAATATAAATAAAAGTATAAGTATATTAAATTTTTATATTTAAAAACTTTTTTAAAATAATAATTTAAAATATTACAAAATTTATAAAAAAAATGAATAAATATTAAAATTTAATAAATAAAATTTTTTTATAGAATAAAATTAAAAAAAATGATTAGATATTGCTTTTTTTTATATAAAAATTTAAATTTTTTAACGAAATATTTATATAATTTATATATTTAATATCATTATATTTTTTATTTTTTTTTAAAAAAAAATATTTTAAAGTATTTAAAACCTTAAATATAATTATATAATTAATAAATTGAATTATTTAAAACATTTTAATGATATATTTTTATAATAAAAATAAAATAAATACTTTTTTATTTTATACGAAAAATATTAATATTAAATAAAAATATTAATGAAAAGTTATATAGCTAAAAATGGAATAATATTAAAAAGTATATATAATTATTAAAAGAATTTATTTTACAAATATATATAAATATATATATATATATATGTATATATATATTATATATATATATAAAATATCAATTATTATTTAAAATACAAAGTAGTAATTTTTAAAACAAACAAGAAGAAAAAACAAATTTAAATATTCAGCAATAATTAAATAAAAACATATAAAAACCTATATATTCAAGTTCTTCTAATCCAATATTAACAATAAGAAATAATGATTAATAAATTAGCAACAATACTTAATTTTTTTAAGAAAAAAGAAAAAATTAAACCCATAAAATTAATAAATAAATATTGATATGATATTAGAAAAATAACCGAAAAAAAAAAAAAACCGAAAATTAAAACGAATAAAGTAAAATTTATTAAGACAATAAAAATTCTGATATATAAACAAGTATTTTACATTCTAATAAATTATAAACTAAAGCCAATTTTTAAAAACTTTAATAAAAATTTCAAAAAGAAACCTATTTTAAATAACAAGAAGAAGAAATTTGCATTGTAGATAAAGTAGAAAAATATTAAAATTTCAATATTATAGAAAAAAATTAAAACTTTGTAAAAAATCTAAAATAATAAAGTTTCGAATATATACCATAATATTTTAAAGAATTAAATATAGAATAACATTTAGAAAACAAATTGTATAAAAGAATATAAAATTAATTTTTATCATAATATTAAAAATAATGAAATATAAATAAAATATATATATATATATATATAAATAAATATATATTATTTATATAAAAATATATAAATAAAATTATTTTTATTTATATTATTATTAAATATATAAATATTTATTAAACTTCTAATATATGTAAAATATATATTATAAAAAATCAATAATATTACTATTTTTTATTTAATAAATTAACTAAAAAATTATCTTCTTCTTCAAAATTATCTTTTTAATTATCTATAATAATGCTATTATTATTTTAGAATTTTTATGAATTATTTTTTTCTTTTTAAACATATATTTTTTTCTTTAATTCTTAATCTATATCTATGTCTAGTATATTAAATACTTCCTAAATTATATATCCAAGCATATTTTTGCAATTATCGGGTTTTTACTTTTTATCGTTCATAATAAATCTAATTATCTAACTTATTTTATCGTTATAATCATCTAAAAAATAATCATAGTCCTCGAAAATTCTTTAAAATCCATCAAAAACTATATTATATTCTAATTTTTCTTTTACTCTATCATTTAAATTCAAGTTATTAGACTTATTAAACAATTAGATTTCCAAAAACCCTCCTAATTCTTCGTAAACCTTTAACAAGTGCATTTTTTTTTATTCAAAAATATTCCATGTTTTTTCGAAAATACTTAAATCAATACACTATGTACCTCCTACAGCTTAAGATTTTTATATACCTTTCTAAACATTAAAATTGCCTTTAACTTTGCCAATAAACCTTACAATTAATTCTATTTCAAAATTAGAATAATTATTTTAATGTAAATAACTTCCGATTTCAGCTAATTTAAAAAACTTCTCTTTAAATGCAATTTTTTCTTCTAAATACATTTCAACAAAAACTCTTATAATTTCAAATTCTTCCATAATTTTTTAAATTTCAATTTATATTTATTCTTAAACAAATTATAATTTCCACATATCAATATTTATATAAAAAATCTATATAAATTATAATTATATGTATATAATTTAAAATATACATATATATTCATATATATATACATATAAATAATATTTAATATTTTTATTATTTTTTAATTACTTTTTTTAAAAATTTACATAATATTCTTTTTTCAAAAAATATGCGATCCCTCTCATTTAAAATATTATCAAATTCAATTTTAACTATATTAAATATATCATTATATTTTTTTATTTTAACATCTAATTGTTCTTTATTTTTCTATATTTCATCTTAAAGTTCCATTTTTTCATTACTGCTTAATTTATACTATTTATTTTCTTAATCTTATAATTTTTTTAATTTTTCAACATATTAATTAATTTTTTTATCATCGAAATCTTCCACTATATATTAAATAAGAATTTAAGTTTCATCTTCCAAATCTCTTAGAGAGTTAATCGAGTTTTTTATTTATTTGTATTTTTAAATTTACAAATTTATATATTATTTTAAAGAAACTTTTCTTTCTTAAGCTGCTTTCATGCTTATTATATATGATATTTTTTATTCTTCTTTTATATATTTTTTGTAATTGAAAATAAAAGCCTTTAATGAAAAAGTGCTTTTTTTTATTTTTATTTTTTAAGCTTTCCATTAACCTGATTATGAGTTTTGCATGAAATCATTAATTTATTTGAAAGAAGAATCAATTTTTGTTTCATTATTCTATTTTAAAGGCAATTTTTTATCTATTTATTCCTTTACTTCATCTATTTCTTCGTTTGAACGCACTAATTTTATTTCTTCCTGTTTAGAACAATATAAATAAAATTTTTTTATATCTTATTCTTTTTTTTAAGAAAATTAAAGTCTATGCATTATTTCAACAAATTCTTATAATTATACTATATTTTATTTTATAAGTTTAAAATAAAATAAAAATAAAAAAAACTGTATTTTTGAGGATTTTATTTTTTATTTATTATAATTTTGCTATCTTTTAAAATTTTATTAATAACTGATTTTAATGGAACATTATTCAAAAGTTTTTAAATATTTCTAAAAAATCCTTTTATAAATCTTGCTTATCTCTATATAAATATTTATATATTTAATAATATAATATAAAAATAAATATTTATATATATATATATATATAAATATATTTTATATATTAATATATATATGTTTATATATAAAAATATTATTTATTATATATATATTATTTTATATATTTAATACTTCTGATTATTAAAAATTATTATTTTCATTATGTTCTCTTTTTGATATAATAATTTATCTTGTTAGTTCTGAAAGTTCTATTTTAGGAATTTGACTTTATATTCTTTATGATCTTAAATTATTTGAATTGTTCCATATATCAGGATGTTTACATATATCTTAGCTTCCTTTTTCCAACACATTTTCTATATATATAAAAGGACTAACTAAATGTTTTGGAAGAAAAGATTTTTCTTTATATCGTTTTGAATATTCAAATAAAGTAGCTTATTTAGCTTCTGGAATTAATTAGATTTTTTCTGTTTCTTTTCTTTGTTCTTTGTAATATTGAATAGGATTAATTACTGCTAATTATTAATGGTTTTGTCTTTGGAAATTATAAGATTTTTTAAAAACTTTACACATTGAACCTGAAACAGCTTAAAATTTAATTTAACTTAATTCCATTATTATTTTTGAAATTTATAAGTTATAATATTTTTCTTTTTATTTAAAAAAAAAAAAAAACTAAAAAAAAATATTAATTTAAAATTTTTATTTTAAAATATTTTTTTTTATAATTTTTGTTAAAACAAAAAATTATAAACTAAATAAGATCTTTATATAAATTAAAAAATATTTAATTAATTATTTATTATAATTTTTATTTAGAAAAAAAAAACATTTATATATACAAATAGTATTTTTAATAAAAATAAAATAAAATTAAATAAATATAAATGTATATAACTATATAAAAAATATTTATATATTAATTACCTTATATATTATATATAATTATAATTTAAAAAAAGTAAAAAAAAGTAAAAAGTAATAATATTATTTCTATTTAGATATTTAATTTTGCATATATATAATTTGAAATAAAAAAAATGTATTTTAAAATAAAAAAATTATCTTGTTATATTCAAACACGTTTATAAATAATTTTTAAATAAATTTACATATTCTTACAAATATATAAATAAAAATTTATATATTAAATTAATATAAAAAAATAATATCTTTTAAAAAATTAAAAAAAAAAAAAAATTAAAAAAAATGGGTTGTTTATTAAGATTCATTGCTAGAATTTTATTCGTAATAATATTTATTGGTGCCGGAGTTGAAAAAATATAAAATCCCTCCCAAACCGCCTCTTTAATGAACAAAAGATACTAAAATTTCACCGTATGGTTCCAAAATAATACTGTTTTATAAAATTTAATTAAATAAGCACCCCAAGTAGTGCACGAGAATGTAAACCTACATGTATTGCCTTACATATAACCCTCATTTATCTAAGACAAATCAACTTAATTAATCCAAGGAATTGGTGCTATCTAAATAGTTTCCTCTTTATTAGTCTTATTAGGATGTTCTTTTGCTAAATACCCTCTTTCTTTATTCGTATTTTTGACTATTGTAATTATCCATAATCCTTTTGCGAATACTAATGGATTTTGGGAAGAAACTAATTAAGCTTTACTTAATGTAGGAATTTTAGGTGTTTCTTTATTCATTTCTTCTAGTTTAGTTAGTAGTGGATGTGGAAATAGTCATAATAATGAATAAGTTAAATAAACTTAATAATAAAAATAAAATGATAAGATTAATTAAGATAAGTAAAAAAATTAATAAAAAAATAATAAAAAAAATAAATGATTTTTATGGAAAAAAAAAAAAAAAAAAATTTTTGTTTTCTTTTTAAGTTGTTGTTGTTTTTTGATTTTTTATTTTTTTTATATATATTTTTTGATAGATTTTATTTTATTTTTTTAATTTTTTTTCTTCTTTTTATTAAAAAACCTTTTAAATATAAATACATACGCGTCTGATATATATATAAAATTTTTAGTTCTTTTTTATTAAAATTAAATATAAAATATTTTATTCACAAAAACTAATATATTATATCCAGAAAAAATTGAGATTAAATCAATTAAAAAAACAAAACTCTTGAAGGAATATAAATAATTTAAAAGTAAAATACTTTCAATTAATAAAAATTCTTAAATATCATTTAGCTTTAATATTTAATAATAAAACACTTTATTATTTTTAATATATTTATTTTGACAATTTTAATAAATAAATTATATTTATCAACTTTATACATATATTTTTGTACTTGCATAATGACAAATTTTATTAATAAATCTAACAAATAAATTAAAAAGAATTATATTAAAATCACTTAAAAAATATTACTAAAAACTTTATAAAATCAATAATATAAAAAAACAATTATAAAAATAAAAAATGTCTTATAACAAAAAATTCGAAAAATAATCTTCTAAAAAATAATAAAAAGAAAAAAATCATTAAAAAATTTTAATCTACCTAATCTCTTCAGACTTCAAAACAAAATTATATCCATATATTATATAAAAATTGAAGATTAAAAAATACAAATATCGAATGTAGTTAAATAATAAATAATTAATATATTATGTTTATAAAATTTATATTATTAGTAAAACTTCTAATTTTTTTTAGATCTATAATTATCTTTAAATCTAATATAATTATTATTGTAATTTATTTATTTTTACAACAAAATAACTATATAAATATATTTCTTAAAAAATTATTTATTAAAAAATAATTAATAAAATAAAAAAAATCAATTTATAATTAATGTTAAATAGAAATAATAAATTCAATTTCTTCTTATTTAAAATCATATTAATAAACTAATATAAATAATAAAAAAAAAATCTAATAAGTATATATATTTTATTTAAAATTAAATCAATAAAAAAAAACAATAAAAAATAAATCTTTAGTATAGATAAATTTTTGAATAAATAAAATTAGTTATAAATAAATAAATTAAGAAAACATTGTATAATATATTTTTATAAAAAAAAAAGAAATTATAAAATATAAATTAAATATAGAATTAAATTTGAATAATAAAAATTAAAAATAAAGGAAAACTTAAAAAATAACTATTAAAATTATTTAGTATAATTAACATTAATAAAAAAAATGTTATGATATGTATATATAAATATATAAATATATAAATATATAAATATATAAATATATAAATATTTAAATATGAAATCATATTGTATTTTTTTTTTTTTATATAGTAAAAAGATATTTAATAAAATTTAATTTTTAAAATAATTATAATTAAACAATATTTATGTTTATATTATTTATTAAAAAAAATATTTTTTTTTATTGAATTTTAGATATTTATACTAATAATATACACTTTATATGATTTTCTTAAATATAAATTTTTTTTTTGGTATTTAATTTTTAAATATAAAATATTATAAAATAAACTATATTTTTTTTTAAAAATAATTAAATTATAATTAATTTTTTTAATATTTTTTAGTTTAATATATTATTTTATAAAATTTATTTTTAATATTTTATTATATATTTGATATGTTGTATTTAAGAAATAAAAAAGATATAAATAAAAATTAAAATTATTTTTAGTTTATTCATTTTAAAAATATTTTGTATTATTATTATAAAATATGATTCAAAATAAAATAATATTTTACTAATATAATAAATATAAAATAAAAGATTAATTTATAAAAAAATTATTTATATTATAATTTAAATATTGCTTAAATATATTTAATAGATTTTATAAAAATTATAAATATATTAAAAATTTTCTATTTAAAATTGAATAATAAATATAAAAAAATTATAAAATAAAATCTAATAAAAAATAGTTTAAGGATTATATTAATTTATTAAAATTATCTATTTATATATATATTTGAACATAAATATAAAAAATATATATAAATATATATATATATTTATTTATATATATTTTAATAATTAATTTATATCAAAAAATATTATTTATATAAATAAAAAAATTAAAATTAAATATTAAAAATAATCATAATAAATGGGTTTATTAAAAACATTCATTATAATTATCCAAAACTCACTATTAAAGTAGCTAAAACTTACATCAATTATAATCCAATAATGACCAATAACAAGATTCAAAAACTTCAAAAATTAATCGTTCACTATCTTATTCATCTTTTATTTCTGTAAAAATATATCTTATAAATTATAACAAAATTTTTTCTACATAAAAAAAAGTTATAATATTTAGAAAACAGCTCTTACACTTCTGAAAATAATGTTCATAATTCTTCTATATAAAAATAATAAGATTAATATGATTTATAATTCGAAAATATAAGTCAAATATCAATAAATACTACAAATAGTGGTTTTAGTAATAATTAAAAAAAGAAAGCCAAAAAAAACAAAAGCGCAACCTTAAAATTTTCCGATATGAAGAAGAAAAGCTAAATTAATCTCCATCTGACGAACTTTTTGATATATTAAAAGAAATATAGAATATATTCGAAAAGATAATTAAATACATAACCCGCTTACTTGCCCTTATACTATCAAATATAGTCTATATAATAATAATAGTTTTATTTATTATCTAAAAGGTTTTTCAAATAATTTATATAATTCTCTCGTTTATAATATACTATCCTTTTAAATTAATTTTCTCCATATTCCCTTTTTTAGATTAACTATTAATGAAAAAACTTAACTTTAAAGACCCTTTTTAGAGAATGGAAAGAAATATTAACTACGAAAGACTAAGAGAACTTGAAAGAATATCCCGACTGCCAACTACTAGAAATTAAAATAAAAGACTAACATTAGTATTAGATTTAGATGAGACTTTAGTATATACATCTATTAGATAATTAGATACTACTTTTTAATAAATAAAAGTTAAATTTAAATCAGGTTTAGATTAAGTCTTTTATGTAAAAAAAAGGCCTTATTTGGATATTTTTTTACAAGAAGCCTTCAAATATTATAATATTATCATCTATACTGCCTCAGTTTAGGAATATGCGGATAAAGTTATTGAAATAGTGAATGCTAAAGGGTTATTTTGCTCGAAATATTACAGAAATACATGTATTTAATACTCAGATGGGTTCGTTAAAAACCTTTCGTTGGTGTGTAAAGATCTTTAGAATAGTATTATTATTGATAATTCATGGAATGCTGTTAGATAAGATTTAGATAATGCGTTAATTATTAAAAGCTATAAAGGAAATGATGAAGATGATGAACTTTTAAATTATACGTATATATTGGAATTTTTAGCTTCAAAAACAATTGAATAAAAGAATAATTTTATGCAAATATTACAAAAATATAAAAATGGGGAATTCTGAATTTTTTTTGTATTTTTTTATATTTTTTTTTTTTTTTTTTTAAAAAAAAAAAAAATTTTTTTTTTTTTTTTTATTATTAAATATTATATATATATATATGTATATAAATATTTATATTTTATTAAATTTTTTTTTTTTTGAATAAAATAAAAACAGGTTAATAAAAATTTTTAATTTTAAAGAAATAAAAAAAACCAAATTATTGCTTTTTTATATTTTAATTTTAAAATACTCAACAAGCAACATAAAAGATGGATATTATTCATTTTTTTTGATATAGTTTTTATATAATATTACTAAAAAAAAACAATATAAACAAATATAAAAATACAATATATATATATAATTTTTTTTTTTTTTTTTAAATAATAATGTATATATATATATTTAATATTTATTTATTATTTAAATCTGAAAACAAAACAATATAAAAAAATTTATATACATATTAATTTTATATTTTAAATGATTTATTATTATATGAATTTATTATATTTTTTTTTATCAAAATAAATAAAAAAAAAATTTTCAAAAAAAAAAAAAAAAAATAATATAAAAATAGATTAACATTATATATATTTAAAAAAAAAAAAAAAATTAAATTTCATATTAAAAATGTAAATAAATTAAAACAAATAAATAATAAATTAAATCATTCAAGAACTTATACCTGAAGTAAAAATTTTCTATATATTATACTTTTTATTTATTCAAATAAAAAGATGAAAATTTAAATAAGAAATGATTTAATAAAAAAACATGAATAAAACTTATAAGAAGAATACAAAAAAATGCAAAAACTTGCAAAATAATCATGCTAGGAGTTAATAGAATAAAGGATAGACGAAATAAACGACTAAAAACTTTTTGAATATAAACAAATGAAAGAAAAAACGGAATAACATGAAAAAATATTACAAATATAAAAAGAATAATTAGAAATATAAATAAGCTAGTAAATTTAAAACAAATACAAATAATAATATGAAAAAGAAATTTAAAAAAACAATATTAGAGAATAAAATTTATTTTTTAAAGAAAATGATTTCCAAGAAGATATAATAAGAAAAGAGAAATTGCTAAAATTAAATTATAAAAAAAACTTTGAAAATGAAAAATAGCATCTACATTAATAATATAAACTTAATATAGAAAAAGAATACGAATTAATAATGTAAGAAATAAATAGTTAAAAAAATATTATTTAAAATGAACTTAATGCTTTATAAATAAAAATAAAAATAAATTAAGATGAAAAGAAAAATTTGCTTCTATAATAATAAAAAAAGTAAAACGAGTTTGTAGATTATATTAATTAATTAGAAAAATAATATGATGAACTTAAAAAATAACTT